AGTTCAGACGTGTGCTCTTCCGATCTTTTCAGATCTGGATTCAGCAAAAGTGTTCTTTCCGTGTGGAGATAACATTATTATTCTGATATCTTCAGATTCTTTTCTTTAAATACGTGCACGGAAAGAATAATTTTGCTAAATCCAGATCTGAAAATAATTGTTTGTTCAATAATCAAAATAATTTTGTGCGAAAGTCAAAGTGATTGCTAGAATATCAAAACGTTTTATAGCAATGCTTATCAGTTTTAACGTTCCAACAAATTATTTTGATGATTCAACAAAAAATTATTTTCAGATCTGTTTTTAGTAAAATTTTCAACAAAATCGTTCTTTCCGTGTGTGCAATATATTTTGTAACAATTCCTACTTAATATAAATAAAAAATCACTTACAGATAACGTAACTAGTAACCATCGTTCCTCCGGTGGCTAAGGCGCTTAACAACTTCATCAGCAGTAGCGCGTAAAACCAAGGTACCACGGCGCATCCAATACCCGATAAAAGTTGTAGAACGACCGAAATCATCAGCGGCATTTTCCTGCCGTATCTGTATAGATATTCGTGTACTTTTTTACTTCTCCGTACAACAGCTGTTTTATGGTTAAATAATTTAAAATGATATGTATTCAATTATATGTGCACTCTCACCTGTCTGATAAACTGCCGAAGATTATGTTGCCAAGAAGCACTCCGAACATAAGAATAGACTGTTGAATGTTCGCGTAATGCGTTCGATCACAGACTAGATTCCACTGAAACGCAATAATAGTTTTCCTTTATAACTTTCCTGGTAGAAATGTATACAGTTTTCCTCAGACACTCATCCAGTTAAATACTGTCTAGTATTACTATGTCCATTAATTGTAACAACTTTGCGTTGGAAATGGACAAAAACTTGATAGATTTACAAAATACGAAATATTACTACTGGGACAAAACTGCCAATTTCATGAGCAGCAGGTTTGCTTATTAATTAATTGAAGTCCATTTATTGCCTCGTTTTTGTTCAGTAAGTGAATTCAAATTTTGCGTACAGTCTTTTGTGTGCAGTAATTGCAGGCAAAGCGTTACATCTTGATTGAAATTCTTTTACTTCTCAGTTACTAGACAGAAGTTAATATAACTGTCTAATAATTTAACTGCTCAAAAATGTTTGAAATTTCTACTAGATATAGTTTTGAATAAAAAGAGAAAATTTTGTCGCTCGTGCACGACTGCGTCGTTTTATAAATTTTACGAATATGTATCTTTATATTCTGTATAAAACAATGATTTTTGATTGACATTTACCTGCGATATGACGGTCTCGGGAAATATCTTCCTGTCGTATTCCCATTCCGTGCATTTTATTAGCGTGCCGTTAAGATTGGCTGTGCATTGGTCCTCCGAGTATTCCTCCGCAGCAGCAGGTTCCGTGCAGTTGTAGTCCTGATGAGGCGCCATAAAAACGATCGCTAATTGATGCCACGCTACCGGAAATTTGACCAAGGAAATCGCCAGGCAGATGATGATTTGCCATCTGCCGAGATTGCCAATCGCGATCTGCACGGCGTCCACACTCGCGTCAGCATCGACATGATCATCCCTACCGTTAGGAACTTGCTTGACGTTCACATTTGCTGCAATTTAAGGGAGACGTTCCTTTTATTTACCTTATTTGCAAAACTCACTTTAAGCTCTATAGGTCTTCTTACGTCTAATCCTGCGTGATTTATGATGCTCGGTTTCGATTGTGAATTTTTGCAGAAAAAAGTTGCTATTTTCACATGTAGGAATGTAAATTGCGCATCAATTATTCTCTCTTTCACAGTATAAATCAGCCGACTACTTAACTGATGAAACTTAATACAATTATTAATCATAGGATGTTGGATCGCGTTTTTTCTCCTCTCTCGATAAAATATACGATGCAAATTTTTCTGATTTTTCAAATCGCATAAAATCCTTATCTGCATGATATGTCGCTTTTGAAAAAAATTTTTGTGCATTGTATATAACGTACTTACGTTGTAATTATGCTCATTATTTATACCTGATTCTAATTATGAATTCATTGCACATTATAATGGTGAAGTTGATTTGCAGCTTCTCTCAATCAATTTTGTACAATTTACATAAAAATATTACAATAAAATATATTTTTTGCTATAAAAATGTATTTTATTTAAAATTTCGATATAAGTCACTTTGATATCAAGAATGAAATATGACTTCCTCAAAGAAAATCTGTTTCAAATATAGATATTTGTACTTAATGAGAACAATAGGATGGTCAATATACACTCGACAGCAAAATTAAAGCATCACCCATTCTGATCACTAAAAATAGGCAAATTTTAAGAGAGTGTAACTTCGTCTCATTCAATGTTGAATAACTCGGTGAAAAAAATATCGCACAATGCTGGCCGGGTGCTCAAATTAAAGCTAAAGATTCACGCTTTCGAACGATGTAAATCTCATTTGCGTGCGATTTTTATTTTACTTTTTGGAACTTCGCAAACTTGGTAAA